AACTGCTACGTATAACAGGAAAATGAGTTTAGAAATTGACTCACTCAAAATTTTGTTTCCTGCACGAACATGGAACTTGTCATGAGCATGATAGCCAAAACGCTTCCCTGCATTCAGGACTTTTTGTATCCAATTTAATGTGTATCTTCCTGATTGATGATATACTGACGTATTTTCAATATACAGCACCGATTTTTTTTCTCAAAATGAACATGTACAGAATAAAAGTATAAATACAATTTTTCTTTCTAAACATATCCAGCAGCACGCAATGAGGGTGCTATTTGCAGAAGATGTGACACAAAAATAAAACGCATTATGTCTATCTGGTTTGGGATCCTTCGTGCCCTGGCTTCCAGTTTTGAGATAGCTTGGTGGCTGCTTTCTGTGTCCTGTCCAAGAGCAAACATGTGTTGTTGTATGTGTGGAATACAGTATTGCTATGATATTTGTTGCTTTGGGATGACTTTGCGGGGAAATAGCGTCTGAATGCAGCCATGTAATTGTCGATTGCTACTAGGATTTCTGGAAGTGAAAATTGTTTTACTGGTTTGAGATGTGATATTGCAGAGTGAACATGGCTAAATCTTTTATTGAGAATATTAAATATTGCTTCCAGTCCACTTGCTTCCTCAATTTTTGCAGCTTCGCTGGAGTATTTTCTTGTTTCTGTACAAATTTCGTTTGTTAGTTCCTTGTATACTTGGGGATGGAGGTATGCTTGGGGTGTGTTGCGATGTTTGCTTGAAATGATCTTGTATGCAGCCACCCAAGCGATGCAGACGAACGGAGCAGGAATTCACATTTATGTTATTGTCAAACACACACCACATGTTCCAACTAGCGTCAACAGCTTTTTTGCGGCATGAATTGAGGACACCCAATCTCCTTTTGCTATTTGAAATCGCGGTAAAACACTTGACACAAATGTTAGCGGAATGCAACTGTTCGTCTTCGTCCTTCACCTCAATCCCATAAATCAAGAGAATATCTCCTGACATTGTCTTACATAATCGGGGCTTTCTGTGCTTTTTTTGTTTGACAGTTAAATTTAAATGCCAACACCCGACAAAGTTCATTCTGAGACTCTCTATGCCTCTCGTGTGTGTGACCGACCCATAGCAGTTTAACAATTTTTTCTTAGGAACACAATTCACTAACTGATTGCCGGTCACTGCAAAGTGCTTGAAAAACAAAATTTACATCAATAGAAAATATGATTTGATGGCTATCACACTGCGAAAACAGAAATAAACACCAATGTTTCATTTTGGAATGATTTTTAATTAAATTTGAAGAGATCACATTATTAACAGCACTTCCGATCACTTAACACTCACAATTTAAAACTATTATTATTCCCAAATGAATCAATGAAAACTGTTGAAACTTTCACATGATACCAAGAAGACGTAGACGAAGCGAAATTGGTGAAGAAATAGTTTCTAGGAGTAGAGTGAGCATCATTTTACGGCTCATGAAATTAGGGGAAGGAACTCGTACTGATCAGGACAAGATAGGATAGCGCTGTGCACGAGTTGACCTCGTTCAATCTACGACCTGATGCGTGAAATTGCAGGTCACCTGCAGGTGATTTATGGACTACCGCTGGGGGCACGGACAAATAAAAGATCGCTGAGAAAGAATTTTGGACGCCGTGTATCGTGCTTTTCTCCCCTTCTTTTTTATGTTTGTTACTCTCTTGTAACACCTCTAATTTTCTGGTGCTCATATGACCTTATGCTGTTGCGAGCGCTGTGAAACCTGTACTAAAACTAAAACAGTTATTTTTTGTGATGTATAAATTTCGCTTTTAGATACAAAGGGTATACATGTTGTTTTTTAAATTGGTACCTGAAACTTTTTCTTTCTACTGTGTGTTTCAGTTTCTTCCCTTCATGGCAACTATCAAGTGCAGAAAGTGTTAAACTCTTTTGGTCTGCTATATAATCAGCCATCCTAACTGTTCAAATTATGCTCTTCCTTTGAGTAGACTTAATGTAATTTCTGTTACTTGTTTTTACGGATTAAAGGTGCCACTAACAGGCAACTTTTAAATGTTGTCTTTCAAAATATGCTGAATAGTTAGATAATATTTTGATATTTCTACAGTAAACTATTTTTTTTTTACATTGCTCAATGTCAACCTTTTATAATATTTTGACAGTACTTTAAGGAGATAGTCACTGGTACATGTTCCTGAGAAAGATACGATCACTGATATTCCTAGCTGAAACCTAATATACTGCTGCTCAGAGGTAACCAGCTGAGGTATAATTGTGTCATTGTATGTAGATATGCTAAATTTATGACACTGTTTTTATTAGTTATGTAATGTGAGTTTGTGTTTGTATTGTCTCTGACATTCTGTTCTTACTCACATTTACCCACTTGGAGAATGAAATGGTCTTTTCATTTTTACTTCTTTCTCGATTTCTTCTATAGAACACAAATGGTGGAGTGGGTTTCTGAAATGGAAAGAAGTCTGAGATGCCTTGGAATTTTGGAGGTATGATTAATTTTTTTGCACATGATTGTTCTATAGATGTGTGGTGTAGTCACAGTGACACATGGGATGAATTCCTTACGTCTTATGCTCATGGGTGTCACTATTGAATCTGTAATGATATTATGACATTTTTGAATGAACAAAAAATGTAATGCTGTTTTAAATGGTGGGGGGTCTCCGCCTAAGATACCGGTGCTTGGGAGCAAGGAAAATGCGGGATCTAAGACAAACGGGATCGTAGCCAATGCACCGAGGAAAGAATCAACAGTGACCCATGTTAAGGCCCACAATTGGTAAAATCGTCTCCTTTCACTCTAAAAATGAACTGACGTGACCCCTGGGTGGGTTTATCACTTATGGCGAGCAAAGAGTGGTCATACTTGATGACCAGTCATCGTGGCATGAGGTATGCCATTTTCACTTATTATCCTGTTGTGATTCTCAAGATCTACACTTATCCAGTTGCCCCCACCCCCTTTACCTGTCCAAAATTTATAGCTTTCCATCTCTGACCGAGATCCTTCACCTTTGTCGTTACACACCATTACGTTACCAGTTAAAATTCAGTCTGCCTGGCATATTCAGGAGTAGAGACAACTCCTGCAACAGTCTCGAAAGAGTTCACAGTTCAAAAGTGATCCCGCCTGGAGCGAACTTGTGGGCCCGAACCACCCAGCGATTGATATAAGTTTAGGTGGAGAGCTCTGATGCAAGTACGATGTTTTGGAAAAAGAAACGCTTCAGTCAGTTGACACCTCTGTGTGTTCCCGTCTGGGGTAAACATTGTACCGTTTTATAAAGTTTCACAATGCTTATGTGATCACATTTGTGAGAGTAGCTGAGCTTTGACACGGGCAGTTCAATGATCTCAGCTTTTTACTCTTGGTCATCATCTGTGCCTGCCCAGATTTTTGTTCCGTAAATTATTACCTGAAATGCGGGATCTTAGCCGAATGTAGACCTTCAGAGTGAATCAAAGCGGGATCTAGGGGTGACTTTTGTATAGTAAAATTTCTGTTTTCTTAAAACGGGGATCTTAAGCGATTCGGGGTCATAAACTTTGGGATCTTAGGTGGAAACTACTGTAATTGTATCTTCCCTTGCCATATATCATAACTTCGTTTTTGTGATTTTGTGACAGTTTATATACTTTGCCATTTCAGTACTTGGCGGCTGCTCTGGTGTGGTTTGCTCTTTCTTTCCTATCAGTCATTTATTTTCCTGATCTCTCCAGCACGCTCGTATGACCACATGCAGTTGCGAGCGCCATAAAACACTTACAAAGGAAGATGATCTCTCCTCCTTTTTTTATGTTTGTTACTCTCTTGTAACGCCTCTAATCTTCAGCTCTTCTACAACCTTGTTGTGTTGTAAGTACTGTAAAACTCTTTTTAAAAGACTGGTAGTTCTATGATTGTTAATATTTTTAACCTGTTATTGATATGCCTTATGAAATATCTTTTTTGTTATTATAATGCTGAGTTATAAACGTTTCTTCTGGGGGTTTTTAATTTGTTTTTTGGGGGGGTTTTTGTGAGTGTTTTACGGTGCTTACAACTGCATAAGGTCGTATGAGCATACAGGACAATTAAACTTTTTCAGTTGGTAGAAAATTTTGAATTTTGCCCGGGTGGCGGCTGAAGCCTACTCTTATCGATTTTAGACCACCAAGGGATCTTTATCGTGCGCAACTTGCACACGGGCCCTCTGAGATTTTTCACCCTTGTCCGAGAGGGCTAGGTGTAGATCTTTCCTACCAGAAGATCAGGGGTGTGGCTGAAAGACAGCAGTAAGAAGAAGCCAAGGAGTACCTGTAGAAAGGCTGCAGAAAGAGTCAGGAGCCTAGAGGAGGGGGCAAAGGAGGTGTCGGGGTGGGGGCAGAAAGAGGAGACAAAAGCAGACGACAGAACATTGCTAGAGAGCAGGAAAGGAGGTAAAAAGAGACAATTTTAGAGAAGAACCCGGGACCTTTGAATGAGAGGCCGTCACCTTAACCTCTAGGCCATGAGAGCCCCAATTCTTCTATTTAGCTGTCTTTTCTTAGTACTTTATTTCAGTAGTACAATCCTCTTGCAGGTGTACTGTCTATTTGTTGCCTGTGTTGTTATTTGTTAATTGCAGGTGGTCGCTGGTTATCTGGTGTGGATTGCTCCTTCTTTCCTATTGAACATCTATTTTCCTGATCTTTCTTTTTTCTTTTTTATGTGTGTTACACTCTTGTAACACCTCGAATCTTCTGCGCTTATGTTACATCATTTTGTTGCAAGTGCCTTAGAACTATTACTAAAACATTTGTTGATTTACTCTTAGTCCCACATAGTTTTTTATGCTATAAAGTAAGGGTGTGCTGTCTTTTGTTCCAGAATCAAGCAGTTGATCATGTGTACACGGTGTGCCCAGCTGTTGTGCGCAAACCAAGGGTCAGCAAAGAAGTCACTGATGAGAGAGAGGCAGAAGCAGCAGCTGCAGCTGCAGCAACAATCACAGCTACAACAACAACAACAACTGCAGCAACAACCACAACCACAGGAACAACTTCAGTCTCAGAGACCAGTGCTGATGCTAGTAGTAGAGAAAGCGAAGAGGTTGTTATGCGCCAGTCTCAGAGAGAGCTTGCAGAAATAGCTGCACTTCCCCCTTCTCCACTGCCACCTCCACCACCAGCGGTGATCGATGATACGCCACCCCCTCTCCCATCTCGACCTCCTCCTTTGGCCAGTAGAAGAACCATTGAGGAACAACAGACTTTGCCAAGTGGAGTTGGCAGTGGAGCTACTCAGTCAGAAGTATCTTCACGTTCGTCCTTAGCTGACATATCCCATGGCTCATTTGATGATGGTTCTGTAGTAGGAAGCAATGATAGTGACTTTGTCTCTGCAGAAGTGATCATGCAGATAAGAAACTTGCATACACAGAAAATGAATAGAGAGATGAATATAGCCTCAGCTTCTAGAGGGGAGGTGCTTGGTGGGCCCTTTACAGAGAACAGCAGCACACCAGGCCCTTCTGGGGCTGCCTCGGGGGCTTCATCCACTTTAACTCACAGCCCACAATCTAGAACAAAACCAAAACTGAAACCAAAACCTGAAAGGTTGAAAAAAAGTCCAACTAATGGCTCTTCGGGTAGCCTAGATAAACTATCCGATTCTAATTTGTCCTTCACCTCGTCTCTCAGTCAGTCTCCAGATGCTGACTTTCAGCTCACAATGGCTAATATGGTGTCTGAAAGTGATGATATTCTGGAGAATGTGTATTCTTGTTTGCCCAGCAATGTGCCTCTGGTCTCAGAGGCTAGTGATACTGATGAGAGGCTGGAGCAAGAGGAGAAGGCAAAGGAACAGGAGGAGAAAGCAAAAGAAAGTCGTTCAAAGCCCATCCCCCGACCGCGGAGAGCTCTTTCGAACAGAATTAAGGATGAATCTCACCCTGTTGAGTCCTCACAAGGTGCAGAAGGTGGCCAGCGTGAAAGTCTGGATGTTGCCACTATTGCTATGGATGAGGATTTTGACCTAGAAGTGTTCACAGGTTGTATTTCCAATACAGAGAGTGAGGAGTCTATGCAGAATGAATATTCTGTTCTCGGTGAGGTCAGGAATATGTTGAAAAAACCTTGCACCAGTGTGAAAGAGATTCCATTTGAAGTGACACCGAAATCCACTGGTGCTAAAGTCAGCGAGTCTTACAAGGAGGGACAAACTCGGTCTTCCAAAGATGAAAATGAAAATTTTTATGGCTTGATGTGTGAGGCTTCACTTCCTCCTACCACTCAGGCCCCACCAGTACCACCACTCCCTCAGCGCCATGATTCGTTACCTCGAAACTTCAGTGCTCAGCGTTCAAAATTGTCACCCACACCGTCTGATGTCGGATTAAAATCATCAACGCTTCCTTCTGACATTTCTGGCTCTGTAGTCGTATCGTCACGAACCTCTTCTTCTCCCTCTTCGTCATCTTCTTCTTCCTCCATTCGCGTAGAGTCTTCACAGGCTCCTGCTGACCACAACAGCCATTCTGATGAGGCTCCCCCATTGCCCCTCCCCAGGAGAAAGGTCCCCGCAACCACCACCAACAACACAACCGTCTCTCGCAATTCCTTACCTCCTCACGCACTCTCCTCGAGCATCTCACTAGACATCCCTCCCATGCCCCCTCGCTATCCATCCCCAAAACGCAGCTTCACCGTAGAGGAGAACAGACCTCCCTTGCCCTCTAGAAACTCCCAGAGTTTTGTGATAAAGCGTCCGCAGCTCACTGTTCCAGCTGGCGTGGATGGACCAGAAGGAGCCATTTATTCAACCAGCAAGAAGGCATCCGCTACAGATATTGCAGACTCCACGCAAGACCCTTCAGTTTCAAAGGGACATGCCACTGGTAAATGATTAGTGTTTTCCTTGTTCTGTTTTTAGCATATAGACCTTCCAATATGTAAAGTGATTTTTTTTTGTAAATGAGATTAAAATTTTTAATGTGTGTATTATACTGAAGTCATTTACTTGAATAGTTTAACAAATTACATAGATGGAAAACAGGCTTTCTTTGTTTACAAGTTGTTGACATATTTCTACCTCTTGTTGTACAATGGTCATGTGACCTAAAACAAAATTAACCTCATAACAGATTTTTTTTTTTTTATGTATAACTCAGTACAATGGTAATATCTTAAATTGTTTGTTTATAGCACTATATTGGAAATAGAATGTCATTTTGCTGATGGAATATACATTATTTCCCCCCCCCCCCCTCTCCCCCATTCTTCAGCTCGTTTTTAGTGATAACTGTTGTATGATATTCTTAGCTGACATGATATTATACTTTTAGACGTTAATTTGTCAGTCTCTATTGACTAGATTGTCTTTAAAATGTTTGTGTTGTTATTTAAGGCTCAGTTTTTCTCAGTGTAGATGAGTCTGTCATTAGTTTATTTTCATTATGTATTTCTTGTCGTTTTTGTTGATGTTGAGCATTTGTCTGTTGGGACATTGGTTTGTACGGCCACATTGAAATTCTGTGTACTGTAGTTATTTGATATTTTGTTTTGTTATGTAATGCCTTTTGCAAGATGCTAAGTTTTATTAACATTTCCAAAACATTTTATTTCAACACCATTTTAATCGTCATTGCCGAAACAATGTTAACTTACATAATTTCTTTAAAATATCTTATCCAGGGAATGGAGCATCAGGCCTATCTCGCAAAATGCTCCTGGACCGTGCCCACAGTATGCACACTGTGGTGTCCCTTAAGCAGACACAAGCAGAGATCCTGCAGACAGAGATCAACTTGCCGAGTGTTTGTGTCAACCTCACTCAGAAGTCAGGCCATGGTCTGGCATTGGTGGAATATGGGGATGCTCCGTGGTGAGTTGATAATTTTGTGGCCACGGGAATGCTAACCATTATGCTGTCTTTTTTTTTTGAAGAATGAGACGAACATCCTGAGGTTTAGGGTTGGGTTCTTGATTTTCAACATTTGTTCTGGGATTTTTTTTTGTTTCTTTCAGCGTGATGAAATAGCTTGTCTGGTGTTACACTTGATGCTTCAAAATTTGTTTTGTTTTTTTAATTTAGCAGGGAGAAAAACTAAGGAATTTGCAGTGTACAATAAGTTCTTACTGTTCTGTGGATGGAGGAACTGGTCAAAGCTACCTACTAGGTTTCACTTTTTTAAGGCCTCCGAGGTCTCATCATGCCAGGACAGGAAATTAGCTGGAGAAGCAGAGAAATTTCAATTTCACAAAGGTCCATTATTTTCATTTCCTTCCCCACAAGACATGTGAGGCATCGTGGTGAAATCAGGCACTTGTCAAAATAATGAAATGGAGGGAAAAATGCAGTTCCAGCCAGTTTGGCAATTTTTATTGAATTTTTGTTTTTGGGCTGAACACCTTTTATATCCATATTAAAGACAGATGTCCATATAAATTTTACTTAAACATGTTGATTAACTCTATCCGTACGTCGTGTTTTACTATCGTATCCATATGACATGGGGGACTCTGTGCCACCCCTTTCCAAAGAGGAAATTTACTCGTTAATCCTATCCGTAGGCTATGGTTTGCATAGCAGTCTGTCGAAATGATTTTTTGACAAATACTGAAAGTTTCAAAGAGATTTTCGCCTTAGAAGTATTCTGAAATGTTAAGAATACAACCCTGGGGGTGCATAATGACCCCAGGGGTTAAAGGCGCAAAATATGTAATTTTTCATTTATCAAGGACTCTCAAGCTATTGAAATAGCAAACTTTAGTGGCCATTTTCTTAGTAATTTTGCTACTGAAACTAGTCTTCCCCACCTCCTTCAGTCTCCAACATCTTGACTTCTATTCAAGGTTGATTAGTATTTTTCATTTGAAGCAAGGCAAATGAATGAGCTTTCAGATAATACCAATAACTCCACATGCCCAAAACTGCAGTTTGACACATATTATAAGAGGCCATAACTTTGTAGGAGTTGAGTTGATAAAGTTGTATTGTGCCTGTATATTCCATGAGTTAATAAGTACTTGTGTGACCATTTCTGGCCTATTTAGTTTAGCAAAGTAGTAGTACCAAATACATTTTGAAAGGTCAGCCCTTGTCTTGATGGGTAAGGTTGAAGAAAGAAGGAAAGAAAACAGACAATACAAGAAAGTAGTTACTACATGTGTGCTGCAAAATGTAGCTGTTTTTCTATCTTGTTGGATCCTTTAACGATGACTCTAAACTTTGAATGGGGGGTTAAAATATTGGTCTCTCACTGTTAAGATCAAAGAGTGTAATTAGATATAAATTAACCTTTGTACTCGCAGCGTGGTGGGATGGAACCAGAAAGACTTCCCCAGTCTCCATGGCAAGCTTCACATTGGGGACCTCCTCTTCAGCATTAACAAGATCAAGGTGAACTCGACGGAAATGGCCTACAAACTGCTGAAACACGTCACTGACCCCAAGATTGAGGTGGTTATGCGCAGGATGCCGTTTGCTAAAGTTTTTGCAATCCGTCGCAGTGCGGAAGGCCAGAGCTTAGGAATAAAAAGGGAAGGTGGCACAGGAGAGGTGAGTGAATTTTTTCAACTAAAAAATACTGCAGTTATTGCTCTTTTTATAAATCTATAATGAAATAGAGTTATGTAACTGATTTTTGCTATGCAACTAGCTACTTCCTTATATTATGTTTATAACTCTTTTCAATATGTTTACCTTTATTGTTTTTCGACATAATTGATTTGTTTTTGCCCTGTTATTGTTCTGTGATAGTTTTTTTTGCAGACTGTTGAATTTTGCTGCAAGCTTGTACTACTTTTTTTCTATCCCTCAGTTACTTTTGATCTTATTTCCATGTTATTTTGCTGTTACAGAGTACCATCACTCAGCAAATGTACATTGTTCTTATATCAACAATGGATGATTGAAGGGTGCAACTGGTATTTCCTACTTCTTTCTTTGTCCTCTGTTGTTTCTGTATATCTTACTTTTTCTCCCCACATTAAATAACCATTATTTTGTTGATATGCTTCTCTTTACTCAAACAAACAAACAAAACTTTCTAACCTCAACCACCCTCAAACACTGCTCTTCACTGTTTACAATTTGTTATTTCTTTTTTGTCTTCCCTTTTTCTGCAGATCATCTATGTTGACCCAAATGGACTGGCAGCCAACCATGGTTTGCCATCATACGCTAACAGTTCATTGAAAGAAGGCAGGTGTAACTGGTTTCTCACTGAGATCAACAACCGACCTCTAAGTCTTTTCTTCAAGGAAAATGAGGTAGCCTAGACTTTTTGTTGTCCCATTCTGCTAAGTTTTCATTTTTCAAATCAAAGAAGAAGTGGTGCCAAATGGTGTGCAATATTGTTCTCTCTGTTTCATCTTTGGATCTATTTAACTATTTTTTATTTTAGTTTCTTATAATAAAAAAAAACTCACTGTCTCTTAAATTATGTTCTTAATATTTAAAAGTAAAACAAACTGTTCCCTAAGAAGCTCATTTGAGCAATTACAGGTAGAACTTTTCTTGACTTATAATAATTGATATCATCAATATACAGTGGAACCTGCTCTATCGGCCACCTCAATAAGACAATCACCTATATAAATGGCCACTTCCCATTTCCACATTTGTGTTTTTTTACCATTATAATGACACTGTGTAAGACATCCTCCTGTCTAAGATGGTCAGTTTTCTCCTTGATAAAAAGTGTCCCTCTCAAACAATTTCGACTGGACTTAGTATTAGTGGGCCTAAGCATTAAAATCAGTTACTTTGCTTCCTCCCCAGATTGACCACAGACTGTCTGCCGTCGGTCGAGAGATTTCAATTGTAGTGCAGCCAAGTGATTTTATTCATGAAATCCGAAAAAAGTTCAAGAAAATGAAAAACTACAAGAGTTATATAACGCAATGAAGTTCATATTCTGTTATATGTCATACTCTTTTTAGACTTTCATGTTAATGTGCACTCTCTTGTGTGAAATGTAAACAGCAAATTCAATTCTTTCTTTGCCAATTCCTGAGTATTCAAATAAAAATATGTGTTCAACTGTCAAGAAGGAAAGTTCATCATCAAACGATTCTTAGTATCTGAGAAAATTCGTCTTGAAATTACAAGATGTCATACAAGCTTAAGTTCCGCTGGATGGACTTTGTAACAAAAGTTTATCAAAACTTTGTTCTTCTGTCGTAATATTCACTTTTTTACATTGTTCAGGCAATGTTTTGACTTTGTTATTTCGTGAACTTTAGAAATTAGAATTGTTTGTGAAGAGATCTGTATTTATTTCAGAAAACCATATAAAAACACATTATAAGTACTTCTTCTTTTGTGATTCCTGACCGACGCTGAAGAGCGATGCTATCTTCAGCAGTTTTTCCTTGCTTCCAAAGAGGTTAGTGAGTTCTGGTCAGGTCACTGGTCGCTGGGTTCAGCACTGCAGCAGAACTGTTGATCATGTACCGATGCCAATTTCTTTACCATAAGTGAAATCTAGCATGTGGGAAATTATTTTTAAAACGCTGTTTTTTTGTAACGATTTCTTTCTGCTCACGTTCCCTTCTTGTCTCTTACATTCTTACTTTTCCATTCCCGTTCTTAGAATGACCAGATCAGTTGTCGCTTGTTCTTGAAATTTGTGTTCCTTTGGGGTTTTTTCTTTCATTATGCTCACTCCTCAAATGTCCTTTTAGGTAAAGCGGAAATCTGTGAGACTGCCAGATTTTCTTCAGTGTCGCTGGGTTTTCAGTTTAGAGAAGTTTCTGAAATATAAAAAAATCGGGATCTTTATTTTATTTTCGTTTTCAGGTGTTTTCAGATTAAAAGTATTTGGTTAAAGCAGACTCTACTGTATTTTTCTTTTTCTGTCCTTTTTTTTCTTTTTTCAGTTTGAATTTGAATATCAATTGACTGTTTGTCTTTTTGTTCACTTAACTCCTTAGACACCTCTAAAACCAAAATATTTCCTAGGTCTATCCATCTATATATGAGTCTACTAATGTTTCTTTCCTTGTATGTTCTATTCATATGCGTGTACATTTTGCAGCCTTTCTCTGGTCTCTCTGCCTTTACATACACATCAAACTCAACATAAGATACTGAAGACAATTTTAACACCTTAGTATGTTTTATGTTTATAAATTGGCATCTAGTTTCCTGCAGTCCTACAGCTGGAATATATAGGCATACACCTCTCTAGCCAACTTGTAAAGCTACTACAGTGGAGATGGGAATTTCTTCCTTTGTTGGTGGAAGGTTACTGACTCCAAGTCTTGGACTGATGTTAAAGCCCAAACCACAGTTTCAAAAAAACTTTGAAATATTGAATTGCTGGTACACCGTTGAGGCTTCTGAAAATGTTTTGTCAATTTCTGAGTATTTACAACATGTGTAAATCTGACTGTTCATTAGTCCTGACCGAAATAAACGTGAACCTGGTGTAAGCGTTGTTTTATTCAGAATGTTTTGTGATTTCTTTGACTTGAAATCATGTGCGTTCCTCAATGATGAGGTGTAACTGTGGCTGTCATTCAGGTCACAACTCGTGTATGTGTGAATAAATGCATTCATTGTTTTCATAATAAGTTGTACAAGTCAGTACACTTAGTGAAATATTCAATGTTTGTGACAATATATTTTCTAAAGTTAAGCAATCCAGCTTAGTCATATAATTATATATTTACTGTTATGTAAGCCAATAACTCATTTTGCTTTTCCTATTACAGACGAGAGATGTATCGACGGTAACAATTACACACTGTGTAATTCCAAAACTACTATTTGAAAGGAAAGCAGTGTGGGTGTGTCAAGTGTGCCACAGGGCTGGGATATAAAAATGTTTCGCTAATATTGTGTTTTGTAATCTCCATGGTTTGCAACTGTCACCTTTGATATTTTAATGCTTTTGCTTTGTCTACTGAGAAAGGATCTAGCTTCAGAGACATTCGTACAAAACCCATATATTGAGTAGTAAAGGTGTTACATGTGTCATATTTTAAATACGCAATTTTTTTTTTTCATGGATTTATATAATCATAATAATTTAAAAGAGGCAGGCCTCGCTAATGTGATTGCTTTTTGTGTTTATGTATTATTATAGATTGATATTGTGCGGGACATGATTATATTAAGATGATATGACATACCCAAATGTGTTTACTTTGAGTGAACGATTTGAATTACATTCTTCATTAGTATTGTGACATTTCCATGTTTTAAAAAAATTCTGTTATGAGTGCTTGTATGTTGTGTTCACTATTAAAAATTTGCATTAAAATCTACAGCTGAAGGTGCCTTTAGAATTTACATATATTGCTTTTACAGTTCAAAATCTGAATATTATAAATCGACAGTTACATACTCTTATTTCTTAATTTTTTTTATATTTTGCTATGTTTTTAGACCAACAAAAAAAAAGTCAATACCTGATACCACAAAAAATCTGTAGTCAATAGATTACTTAACGGGAGGAGCTACCTTGAGGACCATTTTCTATGTTTGTTGCCCGAGATCAAATCTAGATACATATATAAGTTCGACATAGTAAAATCTCTTGATACGCAATTTTATTTTTGCATAGCTACAGCGGTTGCTATGGAAACGGCCGCCTTCGTGAAAATAAACAATGAATTTCAAATCCCTAAGGCTTTCTTATTTATTGACCAAATTTGAAGAGAGTATACCTGAACCAGACCCTATCAGAGTAACGGCGAGTTTTTGTCAATAAGTGCGAAAGAGAATTTTCCCAAAGTATACAAAACTTTTTCTGAATTTAAGTTATATAATCACCTGCCAATGGACAAATGTGATTTTTTTCGCAAATATTTCTCTGTTACATTGATGGCAGCCTTGTCATCTATGTTTCCTGAAAATTTCATGTCAAAAGGAGGAAAACTAAGGAAGGAGTAGGGAAAAAACTGCACAAAAATAATTGTGAAAATTCACTATATTAATTCCTCCTCATGTTTTCAAAGGCAATTTACTAGGAGAATAAAGACTTTCTCAATTGTATCCATTCTATTTTTTGACGAAAAACTAGTTGATCTTCAAAAATCAACTAATATAAAATTTGCATAGCCTGACCCAAAATCTGCAAAATCAAGGGTCGCTCCTTCCCTTAAATGTTGATGCTGAAGTGTTTGGCTCTGGCTGTGTGTATCTTCTCTTTTCTCTCTAAGGCTTTCACTTTTAAAAGTCAGGAAATACAAATTCAAATACTCAATTTCGAAGGGGTCATTCTAGTTTTCAGTCGCAACAGAGGTATTTTTATCTATTAGAAGCTACTGTCAGAAAAAAAAGCGTTATCTTGAATCCATCAAAGATAGATTTCTAAACTGTAGGAAGTTATATTTGAATGTCATTGATTTATTACATTTTCATGTTATAGTAGCATGTTGAGAACCAGTCCAATTCGCAATATTTTTGCACTTTATTGTGTTTTGATTTTCTCACTTCTGTACTACTACCTGGGCATGATAAGTTTCTGCGAGAGATAAAATTGATGTTTGGGTTGCTTAAGATATCACAAGCCCTCACTGGTCATTATGGCCTTCCCATCTCTTTGGGCAAAAAAATGTTTAGGATAAATCTCTTTGGTTTCATATCCGAAACAAAGGAAAAGTATTTAATATCGGTGTTAATTTTGGGGTTTGTTGAGAGTTTAATAGGAAATACCAATTTTTTTTTAATGTTTGCAGAACACTTTCTGGGGATTTCATTTTTTTAAAACATGCCAAGATTTTTTGTCCTCGCCTCTAGGTGCAAACTATAAGGAATTGGAGCATTCAGTCTCATTGAGTAAATTGTCAAAAGGACACATCACTTGAAACTCTTTTTTGTTTGATTGGTTCTCATTTTGTAACCCATACTTTATATTTGAAAGTAAAGGAAATGTCTTTAATTATTTCAGATTGTTTAAAGGACCATCTTTGCTAATCCTACATATACGGTGTCTTTGTTGTCCTTTGACTGGTACATGGCAGCTGTCTGAGAAAGATTTAAATCAAGTTGTTGAAAAATGTGTTCTGTTACTGTAGTCTACTCACTGGCAGGACTTTGGAAGTTATGGGACAAGACGAAGCTAATTTGAGGAACTGGTTATAGTGAACTAAAGTTTTTCACTTTACTACTTTTCCATTTAGGCCTACTGGTCTTTTTAACTGTTTTGTTGTCCTCTCCAGTAAAATTGCAGAGATAATGATTCATGTTTCAAACCTCGATGTCCCTACATGTGAATGTATGTTACCACAAATTATGTCCTGGGTTAAGGGATGGTTGATGGCATGGATATATTGCTTTAAGTGATCAATGTTTGGAAGGAAATTTTTTTTCGCCATAGATATTGATTGATTTTATGGTTACTTTCGGTTGAACCTGATATTCTCTTGTTGGTAGGATGAGAAATGGGTATTGTAATGAAAATGTTTATAAAATGCTTTTTTGTTGTTGTTTTAAATTCTTGCACATGTATATATTATTGTGTGTTTTAGAAGTTAACTTCTTTTGGCTATAAAAAAAATCAAAAATGTTATTTTGAAGTCTCCTTCTAGGAGAAATACTCTCTCCTTACATACAAACATGTGTATTTGTAGACTTGTCTAAACAGTCTCTTCTGAACTTTCTTAAATAAGCTGAACAAAACAAACTGTTCCCTTGTTATGATCAAATCCAGTTGATGAACAAAATTTTAATCATGGATTGTCCTTTGGCTGATGCATCCACCTTCCTTTTACTTTGCCCATCCATTGTCCCTTCTGTACTATATGTCTTCCTTCTGTAGCAGGCCTGTCAACTTCATCATGTGTACAGTCTTTGTGGAGAATTGAGGGGACATTATCCAGGCAGTCATTTGTTTAACAGATTGAACAAAGGTTTATCACAGTGTAGGCCTGAGGTTTTATCATGTGTCTTCTTGTCTTCTTCTCTGTCACATCACATCTGTTGACGATATCAATTTTATATCGGATGGTCCTTCTTATTTCCGCTGTTGTTCTGTACAACTACTCCTGTAGTGTTAATAGGGTTGGCCATATTTTATGTCCTGTGCTGCTGGAGGATTTGTTCTGCAGTATGGTCTGCCTGCCGACTAGTCGCTACCCTAAAATTACAAAGTTCCATCTGACATTTTTGGCAGTTTTGAATTACTAAGATCATGGGGTCAGAAACCAAAGATTCTGTCTGCTTTTTCAAAATCATAAAATTATTCGCGGAGTCGTTATCAAGATATTCTAAGAATTGCTTTCCAAAAACTTTCACGTGTTGTGAAACTCAAAATCTTTGATGTCAAATTTCTCAAAACTAGGTAATGAACAGATACAATTTTGTAATTCTAAGGTAGCGTAGTGTCAAGGTGTTATAAAAATGTACCTTCTTCTGTCAGGTAAAAGAAGTAATCTCATTGACCCATTTTTGTTCCTGGCCAGGCGCCCAGTTGCTCTAATATGATCAAAAGGATTGGAAGGGGGTGGGGGATATGTAAATGGCATATTTGCTCCAGTCTTTTTCTTTGTTGCTTTTGTTCATTCATATGTGAGATTCAAAAAGGTATTTTTGAAATAAAATGACTCTCTTTCTTTGCCAAAATAAATATTACTTCTTTTTTCCAACTGCATGTTTGGACTGTTTCTGTATATGAATTTCTCATTGTTAGTATGAGATTTATTTGGTTTTTGTCCTCACAAGAGAAAGAATTATGATAAATCGGAAGTTTTGGTAAAAATGTTGAAAAGGGAGGTTCGGGGGGTGGGTCCGTTATGATTTGAGTCAACATGAACATGTCAAAAGAACAGACCCTCTCAGTTTTTTTCTTTTCTTTTTCTGTAACTTTTCATGGACTCCATCATTCTACACTTTGGTTCTAGGTGGTTACACTTGAAGTGAACATAATCTTTGCTATTTTAATTGTCTCTCAGATGTATACTTTTTTAAGACTGAGTGCGAGATGTCAACCGTTGTGGAAATTTAAGTGCTGCCTATTACACCCTTATAAATATGTACTTAAACCACAAATGAAATCCCAACAGAACAAACTCTTGTTATTATTGTCAATAGATGCCTTTTATTCCAAGTGAGATTGAGAAGCCTTTGTACATTTCTGTCTTTCTGTTGGCTAAGAGGCTCTGTCTGTGATGAGAGAAGACCATGTCAAGTTTATTCTTTTATATTTCTTTGATATTTTATCTTTCTGATTCATAACTTGGTCTGTTGTATATATGCATATATCATATTGTTTGTATGATCTCTTTTTTCTCATTTCTGCTCCTTACGTAAAGTTGCTACAAATCTTTTTCTCCTGTTGAATTGTCTTTTGATATTGGTGCTTCAGGTAACTGTAAAAGTGTGTGAAATTGGTGTTTAGGGTCAGTGTTCCTAATTGCCACATTGCATGTGTTCACATAATCTTTTTTTTGCCTCTTCCCCATACCTAAAAGAAGAGATATTTTAGACACCTAAAGCTCTTCATGTATATTGTTTGCTGTAAAGCCTGTACTTGTGGGCTGAGAGATCAATTATTTAGTGTGCTGCTGTTCAATGTAATATAGAATGCAATTTGTTGTTTTATTCTGATTTGTTGTGTTATGTAGAGTTCTAAGGTTACGTTTTTTTTAAAAAAAACACTTCAAGTAGCATAATACACAAACTGATTTTGGGTTGAATTATGAACTTTGGTTTAACATTTGCACATCTGCTTAGTTTGCCATATCCAAGCATCAGAATTCTGGCTGCATACAAACAGTGCCTGGCAAATATACAGTCTTCCCTCATGTAGATGAAACCACAAGTCTCTACTTAGTTTTTTTGTTTTTTGTTGTATGACTAGACAAGAATAATAATAAAGCCCTGTCAAATGAATGCTGATGAGGAAATGAACTAATACAGATTTTTTTCTGTGGCTGCAAAGGTTTCTGGCAGTTAAATGAGGCAGAATTTTTTTAGACACAATAAGACATTTTTTTCTGTGTTATTCTCAGCCTGAAAATGTTTTAGTTACACGCTGTCATGGATGTGTGTATTGTAGTTAAGTCAAAGAGAACAACAATCTTTTGAATTTGGACTTTCTCATCTATGTGAATGAATAATTTATATTCAGTGGTTTGTTTTATATTTTTGCTTATGCTTCTTGATATTTTAAAATTATTTTTCAAAACAGAAAGCATCGCCATCTGGTTGATTTAATTTCAAAGTCATGTATTTCTGCACTTAGTATTTTTATTTTTAAACACATAAAAGAGGAACTTCAGATTTATAATTTTTTTGGTTCTTTATAGAAAGCCAATGAACATTAATATTACAGGTTTTAGAGAAATAAGAACTTAAAAAAGAAAAATGATGGTTGGAATATGGTATGATCCCTTTCTCTGCCACAACGTGGTACTTCTGAATTGTGACTATTTTCCTCTCTGTCTTTGCTTTGCTGGGGTTTTTTCATTGACTTGTTCTGCTGTGCTGTTCTCCTACTGTTTACTTCCACAGTTGCTGTTGATCTTGTTATTTTGATATATGATACCCCCACATAAAAGTCTAAGTAGAGTATTCCTTCGTACATGTGTGCCTCTGATCAAGCTTTTTAGTATTTGCTAATAATTTACATGTTTGTTTTATTTTTAAACTTAGGACAGATATTGCAATCAGAGCTGATCATTGTCAGTTGGGATTTCATGGCTTTCTATTATTTTATATTGTTTAATGTTTTTGTGCCTCTTATTTAGTAATCAGGTCATTCTATTTGTTGACAACCGCAGTATTCCAACATTGGTGCAGCTTTTTCTCTGAAACGGGAAGTAGAAGAGAAATTCTCTCTCATTACTGATAAACATGTATGTCTCTTCTTGATAATGGATGTGTTTCTTGTATACCAGATACCCTCCATTGTCCATATATTATGATTTCAAGGCAGTACTTTGCAAAAACCAGCAGGCATTAATATTGACAGGACGTAAAATGATTTTTTTTTTAAATGTGATTCACCACATTGAACTGTGAACTGTAGTGTCATCTTGACATGGTCAATAGGCATTTCAAAGTGTTTTTTTTAAATGATGTGAATATTGGATGCTTTCCTTGCAGTATTATATATAGAGGTAATATGTTCTATATATTTTTACAGAGTTGTCTCCAGAGTCTTTGTCATGCTATCTAAATGTCATCCTGAATTCCTCATGAACTGGATCATTTTTTGTTGTTGTTCTTTAAGCTTTTTGAGTTGAGGCAGAACAAAACATGCTTATTTCTTACAAGAATTAAAATGTGTTCCTTTTGAAGCAGACTCACCTGTTACAAGCATTTTTATGACATTGATGAATTTGTTTCTGCTGATTATTTCAAACCCCACACGTAGCGCTATATCAAGTAGAACTGTATTTTTGCATTATGAGAGCTTTTAAAGTCCTTCTGGGGGATTGTTTTGCCCCATGCTAAAGTTCAGTTCATTAGTTGTTCTGAGGTTGTCATTTTTTGCATTCTTGTTAGCTCATCTTTTAAGAATATTTCTTAAAGATATTGTTGTTCAACAAAAATGTTAAGTTTGCTGACTTACTAGTGTGTAGGATTAATTTCCCCCTGCTTTGTCTGGAGAAATGCTTATAATAGTCTTGTCTCATATATGTATGCAACAAAATGTATATTATTTATAGGCCTACTATTTGGATATCTAGATGATTTTTATAGTATGCTTTTAGATAATTTTTGTTAACAGTCCTCTAGTTTTTACTCTTGAGCTAACGAAATAATATGTAGTTCTAAAGACGAAATGAAATGATAATTGTTGTATATTTGTAGCTTAGTTTTGACAGAAATAATATGTTTCCCCGCCCACCAAACTAATGTTAAAATTATCAGCTGCGAGTTGCGCTGAATATTCGACAATACACTTATTTGGAGTGTGACTGGAGGAATTCTCAGATTCGCAGGTTAAAATCTGTTTCAAATGTTCTATGTTATTCCACCACTCTACTTTCGTCTCTCAGGTGTTTTTTTTCACTTTAATATTCACGATAACCACTCAATCATTTTGTCAACAATATCAGAGATCATCAAAATTTCAGCATTTGAGTTTTTGAAAAAAAAAATTATTTATAAGACACGCCAAAATTATGCATTCCACTTTTTTTTAAACCAAGGATTTTTAGGGAGGACTTAAAACAGTGGTTGTCCGTGGCCTGATGTTAGTTGGTGACCAATAAATATAATGTCTGCTGCAATCTTCCTTCACACCTGGTCAGGTCAGGTCTTTATGACCGAGCCTCATCATCCTATTATTTTATGGATATTTCCATTTCCTGACTTGCTCCTTCTTGTCAGTTGGGTTGTTTTTTTTCACGAATTCTCCGTTGCTCATTTCTCTCACGAAACGAAGGTGTACTTTGACATTTTCTCAAATGTTGTAAAACAAGAAGACCCTCAAGGACCCTGGCATGCCACACACTTTAACGATCCATTTGTAATCCTTTGTTCCCTTGTCTGTGTTCCTGGCCTGCATCCATTTTGCTCCAGAAAAGAAGCTCAATGCTGTTCTTGTACCAATATTGTCACTATGCTCCAGTTTGTTTTTTTAATGTGTACATTGCATTGATACAGTACATAGCTTTTCTATTGTATGTGATACGCTCCATGCCTTTTGGTTCTCTCAACAGTTTACACATTTTTGATTTACTGATTGATCAATCCTATGGCGCTTTCATCATCGTCTCAATAAAAATTTCTCCCATAAATCGTATCTCCTTATTGTTCGTGTATCTCCTGGCTCTTTCTCTCTCTCTGTCTCTCTGTCTCTCTCTCTCTCTCTCTCTCTCTCTCTCTCTCTCTCTCTCTCTCTCTCTGTCTCTCTCTCTATCTATCTATCTCTTTCTCTCTCTCTCTCTCTCTCTCTCTCTCTCTCTCTCTCTCTCTCTCTCTGTATATATATATATATATATATATATATATATATATATAATTTATATGTCGACGTTTTGTAAATGTTCTTAAAATGTGGCGTGTGGATGGTTGGCAGATGCTTTTGGTTTTTGGTCGTTTCCTATCATACATCTATCGCTAAAATATCTCTCCTTCTTTTCTTTGTATAATACTAATAGTACTATAGTAACACATCTAAACTTGAGTCAAGAGATTATGGTGTTCGCCTCTCAATCAATAGGTCCCGGGTTCTCTCCTTTCACCTCCTTTCCTGCTCTCTAACAATGTTATGTCGTCTGCTTTCGTCTCCACTTTCTGTCCCCACCCCTACACTTTCTTCACCACTGTCTGTGCTCCTCGCTCTTTCTGCAGCCTTTCTACTGCTGCTTCTTGGCTCCTTCTTACTGCTGTCTTTCAGCCACACCCTTGAGCTTATGGTAGGTAAGATCTAACACCTAACCTGCTCGGATAAGAGTGAAAAATCTCGGAGGTCCCGTGTTCAAGTTGCACTCGTTAAAGATCCATTGGTGGTCCACAATCGATAAGAGCAGGATTCGGCCTCCACCCGGGCAAAATTCACAAATGTCTTACCAACTGAAAATATTCAATGTGTCCCGTGCGCGCATGTGACCTTATGCAGTTGCGAGCGCCGTAAAACTCTTGACTTACCCAAAAAAGAAGAGACAAACATTAGGGACTTTGGGCACTTATGTGGCCCTTTTGTGTGGCAAGTGAGGCAAAATTCATAAGCCTACTAAAATTTTTTTTAAATTATGGTGTCAAGCTGTAGTGTCTGAGACGTCATGTGCTCGAACCTTCCACAGGATTCAGGTTTTTCCTTCCTGTGTGTACGGCGGGGGGGATAGGGGGATAATTCACTTTTCTATCTCTAATTGTTTGTTTTCGTCTCACATTCCTTTGCTGAGCTTTTGTTTTATGAGAGAGAGAGAGAGATAGAGATAGAGGGAGAATTTCTTGTGGGAATTGGTTTTTATTTTTAGTAGTTCACTTTTTTTTAATGGATTTGTTTTGAGCTCCCATTCTTGTCTTGTGTATGTGTGTCGAAGAACGAAGAAAGAAAGGAGAGAGAGGCACAGAGAGAGACAGCCAGACAGAGACAGACAGTTGAGACAGTCAGGGTTACCATAACACAGGTTGAAATTTGCTGTCATCAAACCAATTGGTCGTTAAATACAACTGAACACAACTTCTTCAATAGAGTTGTGTGAGTATTTAGTTTATTGCTGAAAGCCTGGGTGTAACGAAGGGTAGTTTCCCATTCCGCATTAGGAAGAACCAAAGCCTTTACTTTCTGAAGACTGGTACATACTGTAGAGCACATTGTTGACACCACAGTATTCTAGTAGAAAACTACCTCGAACAGTTAACTATCATAGAAGCCAGTCAGTCAGTCTGACCTTTGGATGGTCGCTCAAAGCACCCAAACAAACAAAAAAGAAAAATATTAAATGATCAAAAAGGAATGGCATTGCTTGAAACGATATCACCTCGAAACTGACTTAGATCCGACACGCGCCTGCGGTCTGCAGATTATGCTCATAACACTATCTGATCGTAGCAGTACCTTTGTGTTGCCTTTTTGGGTTGGGTAAGGTGGGGGGTGTACCATATTTAAAATTAGATTAATTGAATTTTGAAGACTTGAAATGATTTTCTTCGCGTATCTTTTCAAACACAATGTTTGGTCCTCGAGCTTGTCAAAGGTAGGACCTCTCCTTTACCTTTTTTTTTCAAAACGTAGGCCTAATCGTTGTTAATTGAAATTATGATATAATGTATTCTACGTTTGCATTTTAGCATAAAACAGAAAGGTTTCAAGCTGCAAGTGTGTCGTGCCCACCAAAATCTTAAGAGAAGAAGAAATTGATATTATGAGGACGCGGTTGTAATGCAAACAAGCAGATATTTGTGATAAATGAGGAAGCAAGAAAGAACAATAATGCACCGTCTAGCCAATAGACGTGTCGACCTCTGAGAGTTAACCAAGCTGCTCCTGGTCCAGCACGTACTCGCCCACAGCGTAGTCCTCCTCGGGGAAGGCGTGAAGTCTTCTGTCGACGTCTGCCAACTTTTTGATGAGCTCCACCTTACTGGACAGAAGCCCGTCCTCTAGAGCATGCTTCAGCTGAGGATCAAAACGTGTGTTTTATTTGTTTCTGTGTCTCAGACAAATTTAGGTTCTAAAATGCTGTGTGTGGTCAGCCCTGCTATAATATGGCTGTGAATGCTGGGCAATCACCAAATACAGTGAAAACAGATTAAAATCAACCGAAGGTGGTTTCTTAGGAGACTGCTGAGAATGTCATCGAAGGAAAAGAAATCAAATGAGTTATTACTTGAAGAAGTCCACGCAGGCCGCTTTCTGACTTTAAAAAAAAACAATCAAGAAAAGACACATTTTAATGATTTTTCTGAAGCACTTGCTAGACGTAAAGGCCTTGAACATCTAGCTCTCGCCTGCCAAATTGAGGGCAAAAGAGGCAGGGATGCAATCTACTTGGAGAGCCTAAAAAGAGAGGTGACAGGAAAAGATCAGGATAATGTACCTTTTCTGAGAGCACCCGACCAAAGGAATTAATGGAGAACCATTATCGCTAATGCTTGTCGAAGATCTTCCACTTGATAATGATATCCGATATCCAATTCTTTCTCCCCATCCCAACCACAGACAGTCCAATATTCAACAGCAATAACAAATAATATAGAAAAACTCAACTTTTTAAACCTTGCATTGTGCCGAAGGTTATAGATTAAAGACGACTGGATAAACAACAGAAATACCACAAATACAACAGTATTCGTTTTATACACACGTAAAGTCCTCCTAGACTGATTGTGAGTGGTTGGTGGGTGCTCTGATGTGATTCGTTCCTTCTTTCGTATCTCGCATCTGTCGCCGTTATCTCTCCTTCTTTATGTTTTTTACTCTCTTGTCAAACCTCTAATCTTTGGTACTTATAATATAACCTTATTGTAATGCAAGTGTCGTAAAATGCTTACTAAACCAAAAACTAGATTCATTAAAAGATGTACTTCGAAGGCGGAAACCCTAAGTTGTTTTGCAAGGACATTTTATTATTTAACAAAGTCTATAGATTTCTCAACGAATCGCACTAGAAAGCAAGATGATAAAGTAAATACGAAGATACAAAGATACCCCTTACGACTGAGAAGCGTTGGCGCATCAGTGGCACCCTGAAGGCACAGTGACAAAGTAAAGTCCCATGTAAATGTAAGCCGACTATCTATATCCCCCCTCCCCCTTTTTAAAAACATTGCTTTTTGTGTGTGTCCCTGTGTGTGCACGTATATGTTTGTGTTTGTTTGTGTGTGTGTGTGTGTGTGTGTGTGTGTGTGTGTGTGTGTGTGTGTGTGTGTGTGTGTGTGTGTGTGTGTGTGTGTGAGAGAGAGAGAGAGAGAGAGAGAGAGAGAGAGAGGGGGGGGTAGAGGGATCGCGGAGGGGGAATTTGTGCTGCGTGCCCTAACTTGTCAAAGAACCGAGGCAATAATGACCTAGATTATAATACAATTGAACCTACTCTAAAATGTCACCTATGAGACTTTCACTTGTACAAACATCCACTATCCATTTCTCCCCTTGCGTTTATCTAAATAAAAATGATACTTTGTTAGACGGCTACCTGCCTAAGACGACCATTTCCTCCGCAACTGTGGAGCGCCGTCTTAGACAATTTCAGCTGTACTCACATGAGGGTCGTTGGAATCCCCTGGCAGTGTCGCATTTTTGTGCAGTTCTAGGACTTGTTCATTCACTTCTCTAGCCGCCTGAAGAGCCATCTCAACTCCGGCTTGCCCTATACGGGACGATAGCTTCAGCAGAAGAACTTCATGGGAAGGCGTTCGCGGCTGAAAGCATAATGTAATGTGAGAAGGTGTGAATGGAAAGTTCAGCCGTGTTTTTTGACAAAGGTCGCATAAAATTGACAAAATGCACACAAAACGGGTGAGCTTAATGTATGAAGTATCATTTATTGTTTGAGCAGATATGACCACTCTTGTATGTGTGTGTTTGAGTGTACGTTTGAGTGTGTGTGTGTGTGTGTGTGTGTATGTGTGTGTATGTGTGTGTATGTGTGTGTGTGTGTGTGCACGTGCATGTGCGCGCGTTACATTCCCATAATGATATGTCTGCCTGTTCTCAAAGGAAGAATAGCATTTCTTGTGAATGTGCGTTTGTTTAAATTATGTTAATCTCTGAGATAAAATAATTTGCGTCTTCTCTGAAAGACTATCAGTTAGATAAAACGAACTTAGCACAAAGTAACTTCCGCACTTTTAACAGCTTTTGCTGGTAAATTCATTTATATATATATTGCTTGTTTGTTTGTTTGACCTCTTTTCTGACAGCAAAAATCTTTATAATCATCACGATTATATAAGACTATAATAAATGTCAGCCTTAGACGGATGACGGGCAACAGCAAATTAATGGCCACATAAACTATCCCTGATCGGAAAGAAGAATCACTGCAAAAGTTAAAGGCTATCGCTACACTACTTCCCCCC